AGATTTTTCATGTGCTTTGCAAATAGCGTATCTAATGCTGCCAAACTTTTTTCTTATGTGATCATTCAGTGCCGATCAATAGCTATGATGAAAACGGAGCGCTATGTGAGGAAAAAGTAACAAATAAATAAATGTATGATATGTATGCCTGTGAATTAGCCTTCTTCATTCATGATTTTGTTTTGTAATTAAGTGAAACCTAAGCTTTCTGGCGGGAAATGGAGAATGATTCATACGAACACCCATGAATTCACAATTGCTTGTACTGGACTTGAAGTCACTTAACCCGTTTATCTGTATGCTTTTCCATACTCAACAGGTGCTTCATTTCACTATTTTATCTGATCCCACTCTTTTTTATTTCCTTTTTCCATGGAGGAAAAGCCAGCAAGACTTCTCAGTTGTTTTGTTGCCTTTTGCATTGTATGACTCATAAAGTTAAAAAAGCAGCCTGAAATTTGGGAGGTTACTACTTAAGTAAGCATAGAAAAACAACTTTTTTTAACTGTCTCACAGTAAAAGTAATCATCAGCAAAATGTGAGATGGCCCTGGGGTGACAATAGCACTGTGACCAGGCTGTGAGGCAGACATTCTGGAAAATGCATTTTGTCTGTATGTCACTGAGCAAATGGAAAGGTCCACTTTGTTGTAGTGCTGTGAAATCAGCATGTTTTAGTGATACGAGAGAAGGATTTCCTAAAAGTAAGTTAGAGCCTAGTCCCTTTGAAGTCAGTCTTGATCTTGTTGGTATCAAACAGAGCAGACAGGAGCCTATTTTTTGGGCTTATAGGTACTGAAAATTACTATGCAGTGCCGTATCTACATGTATTTTATATATATTCAATTTACTAAAATGAGGTACCACAATGAAATCCTGTTTGTAAAATACTTGGATTAATTTTGATTTTGGAAGTAATTTTTGAAGTGCCTTTTTTTGGCACTCGCCTCGAATACTCCAAAGCTTAGTTTTCTATTGCTTTCCTTTTCTAGAGAGTCAGAGATTTTCTTCCTCTCATTGATATTTTTGTATTTGCAAAACATCCATTACTGCAGTGTTTAAAGCCAGTTGAGATGTTTGAGGGTGTTCTTCAGTTGTACTGGAAACAGCCATGTCTTTTTTGCCTTCATTCAGTTTTCCCACTTTGCATCAGTAGCCTAATAAAGTTGTGACACTTTGTGCCTCTGATGTAACTTTTATCTTGAGCAGTTCAGTTCCATAGGCTTCCTTGACGCAAGTCTGCAGGGCACAGATATTGAGAAGTTGGCTCATTTGTCTTTCTTCTTTTGCAGTGAAGTTCTTCCTTAAGGAACTTTCCAAACACTGGATAATATAAACCATTGTGATATATATATAGAGTTCTTTGAAACTTTACTGATTGAAATCTGTCCTTCAAACAGAATATGCCCACAGCCTATGGGCATGTCTGTGCCGTGTCTAAAACACACATAGAAGATGAGTTCATAGGAGTTTCTGAAATACAAGCAAAGCTTATCTTTAACCTTGTGTCACAGAACAGGTATAGAAGGGTTTCCTAATTCATGCTATTTTCTTCTCTGCAGTGTTTAAATTAAATTATCTGTAATTAATGCTTGCTTTTACCATGGGACTCTTCCAGTAGCAGAGAGTTTGCTTCAGGTAATGCCGTGAGGAGACAGGCAGCCTCAACTCCTTCTCGCCAGGGTGCTGCAGGGGCCCGGAGAGGCCCAGTGCCCTGCAGCGCAGCAGGGAGCTTCCGTGGCCACTGTGGCTCATGCTCAGAGCTGCCCTGTGACTTTGGCGTTCAGGGCACATCCTGCCTGCATAGCACCTGCCCTCACGCTCCTGCCAGTCCCCAGGCACCCCTTCCTTCTCCTCTCTCTCCTTGCAGGCTCTTTTCAGCTGCTGCCACAAACACAGTGCTCAGGCAGACTCGTCCTCTCTGCTGCCACCCTCTCTTCTGTGGGCCCCCGAGAAAGCTCCATGCCAACAACAGGTTTGGGGTCTCTGTGTGTGTGTGAGTCAAGCCTAGAAGATGTAACTGCATCTCAACTAACTGCATAAGTAGACTCTTGGCTGTGACTGTTGTCCTGCCTCAACCTGGTTTATGTTTGACACCTTCAGCTATCCTGTTGCATCTCAAGTCAAGCTGCATATGGCCGTGTTTGATTGTGTGTACATGTGCGTAGACTCCTTAATGCTGGGGCTGCAGGTAAAACTGCACTGCGTCCACTACTAACTTGTGTCTAGGAGCCGTATATCACTATTTTCTCTTAAGCATGTATCACTCTTTCCAATGCAATTTTAAATGTTGACGGTTCACCTACACTGAGTTGTTCTCCCCTAGTCTTTTCTCCTTGTATTTACAAAATTGTTAGGTGTGCCGACTAGGCTTCTCAGCTCATCTGTGTCTTTAAGAGCCCTGCCTCTGCCAGTGCTCAGGAAGCCCGTGGTTTGGCTTGGGCAGAGAGGCAGCAAGGAGAGCTGGAGCCCTGGGGCCTGGTGGCTGCAGAGGGCCGGCAGCCAGGCTGAGCAAGCTTCAGCCTAGTCAGCAGCATGATACTTGGCCCTTCAATCTCCATTTCTTCTCTTACAAATACACTTAAGCTGTAAGTGGACTATTAATTTCAAGTGGTACTGGCTGATACTACCCGTTTGATTTTTTTAAAGAGGCTGTGCTTAGGAGTAAGTTAGAATAATTTGGCAGCATTCATCTGCCTCTGAGATTTTGCAATTGTTATTTCAAAGCCACATTTAAAAAAGCATAGGGCAGCAAACTTAAGGCTCATCCTTGCAATCTGTCCATGGTGCTTCGTAAGTCCAGTCACTTATTGCAGGTTGAAGCCACTGGGTCTCAGCTCTGGAGCAAATTTAAGTGGATTCTGTGGAATTTCTGAAAATGTGGCACACCCCAGGCAACACGTTGCATAAGGGGGTTATGCAATTCCAAACTGTCTAAAGTCTGTCATAATTTGTATACCTTGTGTTTCTGTTCTATCTTCCTTTCCGCAGCTGTGGTTAAGAATCTGTACTTACTTTTGGACAAATGAGAAAATAAGACTTGACGTGTTTGAAAAAGGGAGTGCCTTTTTTTGTACAGTCTGTGCCATCTGAAATCAGTGACTGCAGGTAATGCCTTCCAGGCAGTGTAAACTTTGGTAGGTGCACTCTGTGCTCCAGATGGTCTTTGAGGGAGCATCAGACCTACCTCTTCGAGGTGAGCATGAGCAGACACACTCTGTACATACTCAGAATATTTGCACTAGCAGAAGTGAACTACGGGCAAGGGATGAAGGTCCAGAAACCATTTATTGTCTTGCTGCTGTATGCTACTGATAGTCAATGTTCATAGAGTCCCTGCTAGTACCAAGAGCACCTGCTTCTGAAGTACAGGTACTCCTGGGAGTTAAATGGTTTGACTGATGCCATTTGCTACTTGGCTTGAGAGAGAAGAAATTAAAGCCACAGATGTGGTGAGAGGTGTGCGAAATGTTTGCAGGTGAAGAGGAAATGATTCTAAATGTTTTAGCTTTTGTATTCACCAAAAAATAACGAATGAATCCTTTCCACAGTTTTTGTTTGAAAAAGAATCGTTTCAAAATTTAAATGAAACTGCTTGAGAAAAAAAATATGAAAAGGTTCTTTATTTGAAACTTTAATGTGAACATTCATCAATTAAATGTTTGTTTTAAATTTTGTATTAATATGGATTCAGTGGTGGTGAATCAGACAAAACAGAAGTGGATAATTTCACTCAAACATCATAGACCTTAGAGGCTATGCTAAATTCCAATGAAGTAATTCCTCTTCTAGTTCCAGTCACAAATGACCCTTTATTGCTGCTTTCTGCTCAAAACACCTCTTCTATGCCATCTACGTATTATCCTTCATAATGTGTCGTGATTCCCTAGGGTATCTCTTTCCCTATCATTTTCTGCCTAATTCCATTTTAATGGCTTTAAAAATACATTGTAAAAGTCTTATAATAATGGGTGTTAGATTGTAGTCTGTTTGTGGCACTATGTCCTAGGCAAAGTCTTTTGTGCCAATTTGCAAGGATGAAACAAATTGTTTTCAATTTCAGTGTCATTATGCAGAGCACTTGTTGAGTTGGGCATTCTCCTGATTTCATTGGAATTATGAGGTGTAACTCACAGTGTGTTTGGCTCCTATCACTTAAGGCAGCCAGCACCATTAATTGGTAATCTTGGGAAGTTATTTATTCTGGTCTTTAGGACACAGTGGCATTACAGTGATGCAGTGAAATGCTTTACTTTTTGATTTTTAAACCACTAGCTCCAGTTGCTATCTTTTTTAGAATTTAGAAATTACTGTGCTGAGTATTTACAAATTTCACAGAACATTTTGTTCTCAGATTTAAATCCTGCATACCAAGCGCCTGCCTGGGGCAAAGACAAACAAAAGTTAGCTTTGATACTCCAAAACTGGTTGAATAAATCCCGTGCAGCTGGCCTGCGTGAAATGTGCGCAGTGACAGCAAGCCGCAGAGAGGATTCAGAGGGTTAGGAAGAGCTCTGTGCCTGTCAGATGCTAGGAGTGTTTTATTGCTTTTGCTGTGAAGGGCAGTAACATATAGGTATCCATACTGCTCAGTATTAAGTATGCAAAGTGGTGATTGCCATGTGGTTCCCTCAGGTATATATGTGGACAAAACTGACTTGTAAGTGTGCAATATTGCAGTCTTTATTTGTTTATACATGCTTTGATGTTTTCCAAATTTGGAAGTGCGGTTAAAGCCTTAAAGGGAATCTGTGAGTCTGCAGCAGCTGAGAATATATTTCTAGCACTGGACGTTCCTGCGTGGTTGTGTGAATGTCTCTTCATTGGTGAGGAAATGGCGTTGTCTAGCCTGTACTGCAGTGTTTGTAAAGGGAAATTCTCAGAGACTTATTTAAATGGGCAAGCCAACACAGTACAATTTACACTTGTGTGTACTTGTGGATGAGATGGCAGTAACTGTTATGGATTGGAGAGTACTTTTTCTGCCTGTGCTATTCTCACCACCAGGTCTGTTCCTTCAACTGTCTCCACTTTGCTTCTTTTTGTAATATAACCCAGCTGAGACATGGTCCCGAGGGGAAAGTGACTTAAACAAATCTAAATCTGGGAAAGTCATGAATTAAAAGGTGTACAGTTCAGGAAAATAAATTCTGGAATACAAAGTTATGAAGGCTGTGACCGGTTCACATGAGCAGCTTGTAGCAAGGTCATGTTTCCCTCCAATAGTGCATCGACAGGAATTTGGAATGCCTGCTTTTACTCACGTTGTGTGAGCAGAGTGCTTTTGGCAATGCTCTGTGGTGCTGCCTTTGTGAATCCAGCTCCATTCTCAGGTTCCAGAGAGCTTCCAGGTTCTCTAGAAACAGGCATAAGAATAACTGCAAGGAGTGAGATCAGATTTGCAGAACTGACCTTTGGAGCTCAGAATGGCAGGACTCAGAAAAGAAAAAACATAGAGGCTTTCATTAATACAAGTGTTTATCAGTAATACACTAAGAGGGACTTAAAAAAGAGATATGTATGCATTGGGTCAAAAACCAACTTCTAGCAAAATGAGATAAGAAGAAAATTTTCCTTGGAGCCAATTTGGCCAATAGCTGTTTCTGGCAGGGTTTTTTTTGCGCTCTTCCCACGTCATTTTGTAGTGGCCATACACTGAAATAATGCACTGGGCTATGTGGACCACTGGCCCAAGCAAGTGCATGGCAATTCTTATGATTCCTGTGCTGAAAGACTTCTCTTAAACGACCTTGACGGGGTTTGATTTGATTTGTTCCAGAATAGGTTAGCCCTTGTTCCTGTTGATGCAAGCTCGTGATCTGGACTCCAGGACTCAAGCAGGACTGAGGGACACATCTTGTCAGGCAACGGTAAGATTGTGTTACCTATGTAGAGGAGGGTGTTGAAGTCTGGTATATGTAGCTTGTGACTTTGAGTTGTTTGGTCTGAAGCAAGGGACAGGAAGGTTTCTTTTCTTTTTTTAAAAGAAGATCAGTGCAGAGCAAAGAGAGGAGGTGAAAAATTCTTAGGAAAACCAAAAAAGAGAAGAGAAGCAGCACTGAGAGTGGACCAAATCTTTTACTGGAGTATATGAGCATTACTCATATAACTTCAAGAGAGTACATGCTTTAACTGAGCATGTACCAGCTGAGGACTTGGCCCATAATGTCCTTTATAAAGCTCTGAATCCTCCCCAAATAGTTTTTCCCTCCCTCTTCAAAGAGGCACCTGTTGTTGGTGGAGTTGGTGATGATACCGGATTAGTGCACATGCGGTCAGCCTGCTTGGCCTCGGCCCTTTGGACCCAAAATGAACTCCAGCTGCTGTTGCCCAGAGCAGGTGCTTCATCCAGCCCTAGCAGCTGTTTGAATGTACACTGTCATGGCCAAGAGGAGGGGGTAGGTCCCCTGAAGTACCCAGAGGAAGAGCTGATCAGCAGGAAGGAAGGAAAAGGGAGTGTGCCACAGAGACCTGATTTTTATACCCAGCATTTAGCAGACAAAAGTTGTTCTAGCATTGCCTTGTGGAAATGGGAAATAGTGGCTGTCACTCTGCATGCACTGAGCCTGCACAGCACCGTGATGGATGATGGTTCCCAAAATGAGGCTGAGGGACCACTAAAAAACAGCAGGGCCATGGCAAATGATTGATCTCTAAACTGCCAAACCTGTATTGTCAGTTGAAGATATGATACAGGTACATGGCGGTGTGTGAGAAATTTTGAGGGCTGGTAGTGTTTCACAGTTGTTCAGTGTTTGGAGTCGTTGGTTTAAAGCTCCAGTGAGCGGCCCGGTAAAAGTGAGATTAGGCGCAGAACAGTGTACAGGCTCATAGTCTGCTACATATGATAGCTTGGGCTTCACACTCACACTGCCAAAGCCAGCAGCAAGGGAAGAAAACAAAAGCAGAGGTAACCTGGGGTTATGAAGCAGCCACAGGGGACAGTGTCAGGGAAATGGAGGGTGAGGAGACAATGTGGGGGCATATAGAGATGTGGATGGTTGGGAGGTAACAGCCAGAGTTTGAGGAAGGGGGACAGATAGCCCAGTCAGAGGTAAAGCAGCAGCAACCCAGGGTTAGAGTGAAGGGGACAGAACAAGGGTGCAGGTTTCTTGGGGTAAGGCAATCATGGCCTTCAAAGGGAAGAAGGCAGCTTAGAGTAAGGGCAACGCAGACCTGCAGCAAGAGGTACTCTGGGAGTGTCTTGCAGAGCAGGCAGTCTTACGGTGTAAACTGTTCAAAGTTGTTCCCATTGCTGGCCTCACAACCAGCCACTTTTAAGTCCTTTCCAGCCTGCCTTCAACTTATTCCCCTTGGACTGTTCTCACTGACCCGGGAGAGGTCTCTGTGCAGTCCTGCACTCTCTGATTATTCACATGCTGCCAGGGACAGCCCTCCTGGCCTCCCTTTCCATGAGTGTGCACTGGTCCCTCTTTTGGCTGTGCCTGCATAAGTCACTGTCAGCATTAACACCAAATTTAATGTGACTCCTTAGGTTCCTCTTCTCTTACCTATATTCACTAAAGTTACCAGAGTCCTTCCAGTTTCTCTCATAACCTGCATGTCCATTTTGTATACCTACCCTGTGCATGGTTTCGGTCATATCCCATCATCCAGTCTTTTCATTCTGTGTATCTTTGCTGATTGCTCAACCAAGTTCCCACTGAACCTCCATAAGGAGGGGTAAATGTTAAGCAAGGACATTTCCCTGTGTAGCTATAAAAGGATTATTCAGGCCATATTTCATTACAGCATGGCCTAAGAGCAGGAGAAAAACATGAATATTGGAGGCCTCTCTTTGTCAGGAAATGGGATTTCCGCAGGTGCTCAGTTGCAAATGCTCTGCATGCTTCTAAGGCTTGGCACATGGCGTTGCTAAATCCTGATTCAGGATGCAAGAATGTCTCATGACCCCTGCCATGTAAACTGGTGTCTGGCCATGTTTGGAAACCAGCCGTCAATGATGACAGTAGACGAGTATGGGTGAAATGAGCAGCTTGGCTTCAGCACTAAGCAAGACTTGTTAAACATTGTAAATACAGATGTCCAATTCATATTTTGAATAATGAATATTATGACCTTTTCTGTAGCAAGTGGTAAAAAGCTGGATCGTCTTTCTTCGTCTCCTTGCTGCCTTCCCAGGATTTGAAAGTGTGGCAAAATATTTCATCCCTTTACAGGATTAGGTAAGATTGGTAACCATAATTCTTGTACAGAATTACATAGAAATACTCTAGACAGCCAAATATATTGATTTAAGATCATCTATGTGGTGGCAGAGAAATTGTTTCCATTTTGGTTTATCCTCTTCTTGGATTGGTCAGGTTATCCAGCTGACTTCAGTTGTTCGTTCTTTCAGACAAAAAGCTACTCCTGCTGGTACAGGCCTGTACAATTTCTGTCCCAGTGTAGCTTTTCTGTCAGGTATTCCTCCTATTTGTATTGCTTCTACATGAAAATCAAGGAATTAGAGAAATAGCATCAGAAACTCTACATGAATGAAATTCTCAAGGCTGTTAAGGAAGAAGTTGCATTAGAAATAGGGGGTTTCTGTGCTCGTTCTGTGCTCACATAACTTGGACATGTCACTGTTATACATGGAAAGAAACATCACACATGACTATTAAAAGTGTGTGATGTACATCTGTGCGAGGGGAAGACATCCTCTGATGTGCTTCTGGTTACTGTCCCTATGATTTTGCCACTTTCAGTAAATTACAGTTCACTCATGCTGCTGTGGGTTTATCAGCAATAGAATCATAGAATCATAGAATAGTTTGGGTTGGAAGGGACCTCTAAAGGTCATCTAGTCCAACCCCCCTGCAATGGGCAGGAACATCTTCAACTACAACAGGTTGCTCAGAGCCCCATCCGACCTGACCTTGAATGTTTCCAGGGGTGGGGCATCTGCCACCTCTCTGGGCAACCTGTTCCAGTGCTTCACCACCCTCATTGTAAAAAATTTCTAGTCTAGTCTAAATCTGCTCTCTTTTAGTTTAAAACCATTCCCCCTTGTCCTGTTGCAACAGGCCCTGCTAAAATGTTTGTCCCCATCTTT